AAAAAGCAATATAATTTAGTAAATAGTTTGAATTACATCGAAGATTTTGAAACACCACAAACTGCAGCAGAGGCATTGAGCGGCCAACACGCGCAAGAGTGGCAAAAATCAATGCAAACCGAGTATGACGCACTTATTGCAAATGGTACGTGGTCATTGGTTGAGTTACCTGAAGGGCATAAAGCCATTGGTTCCAAATGGGTGTTTCGTATCAAGCGGAATGTCAACGGCGATATCGAGCGATTTAAATCTAGACTAGTTGCCAAGGGTTGTGGGCAGCAGTTGGGAGTCAATTACTGGGAAACGTTTTCCCCAGTAATTCGCTATGAGACTATACGAATGCTATTTGCTATTGCTGCAGAAAAACAGCTACATATGCATCAAGTTGACATCTCCAACGCATACCTAAACAGCAAGCTTCATGAAGACGTTTACATGAAGCAACCGGAAAACTTTGTGAACAAGAAGCATCCGAGTAAAGTTCTAAAACTACGAAAGGCAATATACGGGCTAAAACAATCCGGCCGCGTATGGAACAACACACTCGACGAAGTTTTGAAAGACATCGGCTTTAACAGGTGCAAGAACGAGCCCTGCTTATACGTTAGTCAGCATCAGCAGCAGTATAACTATATTGCGGTTTACGTTGACGACTTAATCATCATGAGTCCTAGTGAAACCCATATAGCAACAATCAAGAAGAAGATCGCGTCGAAATTCCACATGCAAGATGGCGGTGCTATACGATACTTCCTTGGTTTGGAAGTGCAGCGAGAGGGTGACAGGGGCGCAATTTACTTGTCACAGAAGAAGTACATAAAATCCGTTCTTGATACGTATGGCATGCAAAACTGTAGAGCAGTCGCTACTCCACTCGACCCAGGTTTCCAAGTCGGCTGTCAAGACGAAACATGTTCCAAGGTAAATATAAAAGAATACCAATCCTTAATCGGTTCTCTTATGTACCTAGCAGTGCTAAGTCGGCCTGATATTCTACACGCTGTGAGCAAGCTGTCTCAGCGCAATACTAATCCACATGCTGAGCATGAAACCGCAGCAAAACACGTTTTGAGATATCTATCTGGTACGGTAGATTTGAGCATCGTATATCGAAAATCTGGTGAACCCGTGAAGGGATTTGCCGACGCAGATTGGGCCAATGACCCCAACGACAGGAAGTCATATTCTGGTTACGCATTTTATTTGGGAAGCAGCGCTTTCTCATGGGCTTCCACAAAACAGAGCGTAACAGCATTGAGTAGCACCGAGGCTGAATACGTAGCCTTGTCAACGGCCGCCAAAGAGGCAGTCTATTTAAGCCGATTACTGGCTGAGATTGGGTGGTCCAGTACAAACCCCATGATACTATATGGCGACAACATTAGTGCGCAACATATTGCACGGAACCCCATCCATCATAAGCGTACTAAACATATTGATATAAAATATCATTTTATACGAGAAAAAGTAGAGTCAAATGAAATTAAATTAGAATATGTTTCGACTGATAAAAATGTTGCCGACATTTTCACTAAAAGCCTTAGTAAACAAAAACATTGTAACTTTGTTAAATTACTTGGATTAAAATAATGTTTGTAAAAGAGAATATATCAGCTTAAGAAGAAGTGTTGAAATAGTAAGCTAAAATATTAGTCTGGCAACATTGTAACTTGTAGATTTGTAGCCTTAAGAATTTTGATGTATATACAATTGAAGTTAGTCCTTATTAAACCAGCAAGCGAGTAACACTGTGTTTCATTTATACGGAACTTTGCAACAGATATAAATCCGTAAATTAAAAACAAATGAACGGACAACAAAAGAAATAATTTGCCGCAGTCTAATGTTTACATATTGATGACCAACTGTTATAAATTTCTAGCCAATTATATTTCCTAGTAAATATTTGCATTATTATTTCGAAATATTTTACAATGGGCTAATTCCATAGTAATCGTAACCAGATGCGATTATTTATACTAATTTTACGTATATCAGCAATTAAAAAAGTAAATAAGTAGTACCGCTGCTTAAAACTCTCTTTAGGATTCGTATTAGTATGAACTACGTCCCCCGGAGTTGGATACAAGTACTGCTTAGTCCAAAGCCTGGTAGGTAGGAAGACAAGAAATGCTTCTTAGAGCACTTAATCTATGGCGTATTAGGGCGCCACTTAGTAGGGTGGCAAGCCTTAAGCGGATAACACAATATTAGTAGATTAAGTAGCATACAAAGAGGGCCGGTACGGGGATAATTGAGGCACTGAAATTCTGCCCTTCAAAATCACTGAATTTTTCTTAAATATCAATATGATCTCCATTGAGCGTTGCCTAAAACCAATCCCGATGTACTCAAAAGCAAGACTCGAAAATTCGGGGCTGTGGAAAACAAAAACATTTGGGCATAACTTAATCTTAATCCGAAGTCCAATAGTTAAGAAATTCAGGCTGGATTTTAGATTGGATGTAATTGGGCCGCTTGTGTACTTCGCGAAACTAGTATGGCTGGGTAAAACGGCAGCCCGAATTGGAAAGGACCTTTCCGAGCCGTTTGATACCAAATTAATTATATTTATTTTATATTAATCTTTACCTAAACTTTTTCAAAAAATTAATTCTGGAAATTTGCAAGGACAATTTTAAAAGGACTTTGCATAAGTATTTCGTCCTTCTACACCAAAAAATTGTATACATAAAAGTGACGCTCTGGAAATTTGTTACACAGTATTTCAGGAGAAAATTCCTATTAATGTTTTAAGGAGTTTTCATGACTTCCTTGTTGTTAAGCTTTCGACAAGTACATAAGTTATTAAATTCAAAACCCATTTTTATGTTAAAAAACGACTGAAAATTGTTACATTATATTTTTTTTTTTTTATATTAGGAAGCTTATTTCACGAAAATATAAAAAACAAAGGAATCATGGAAAATCCTTAAAAAAGTAATGGACGTAAGTACTTATTTTATTTTCAGTATTTTTTTTTCATAAAATATCTACTTCTTGCGCTCATTAATTGCAGTGTTCTTCAAGCAAGCAAAACCACTGATGTTATTAGTATAACGGCAAAATTAAAAAAAAGTAACAGTATGGTAAGTCCAGAGGGACAATAAATATTATGGCAGAATGCCATGCTTCTGCTGATAATACTTTGCGGGCAAAAATTCGTCGTATAATGCTGTTTTTATTTTTTCGTTTTTACCACCATAAAAAATCTAAAACGGGGAGCCTGCAAAACAGCACTTCGCGTGGAAATGACCAATAAGTATTTATTTTCAAGATTCTCATCAGAGAATAAATTTTTCATTGCATACTGTTATCCTTTAAGACAAATTTATGTAAACAAAAATTGACAAAACAACTCACCTGTCAGCTGCTATCGCCACCAGATGCAATATGGACGCCGTACAGCAGAGCACATCGCACGATGTCCAAATGTCGCACAGCTCCGGGCCAAGTATCCAACCCTCGCTTATCTATGTGAAAAGAAAAATTGCAAACATTAATACAAAATTAAAAAAAAAAATAACGCACATTTCCCGTTTATATCGCCGCGGGAAGGGTGCGGTGCATTGCAAACCGAATTGTTTTATAAGCATTTGTTACATTTTTTAATTGAAAATGTTTTAAACTACGAACGAAAAAAACAGAATTCCGCATGAATTACCTATCTCGCTCATGCAACAAATTAGTTGACAATAAAGTGCATACTGTAATATTTTTTATTCAAAACTTTTCCGTTTTTACTACGAGTATGCGTTTTTTTTTAAACTTGTTTGCTTTTGATTTATTTATTTTTTTCTTTTCTTTTTTTGCTAGTTACTAGGTGATAACAATTGATGGGAGCTTTTCGCCACACTTACCTCGTAAACCGCGCCGAGCGGCATCACCAGACACGCCACCAATAAATCAGCCAGCGCCAGCGATACCACCAAATAATTAGCCACATTCTGTAGGTTTCGCTCGAGTATAATTGCCGCAATTACAAAAACGTTGCCTGTTGCAGGAGTTTTATTTCGTTCATTTTTTGTTTGTTTGTTTGGTTTTGCAGTTATACAACGTTGACGTTGTCATCCAATGTGCGTGCCGAAAGTTTATCATTTGCATTTAATTTTATGTTTTTTTGTCAGCATAATTTTGAATTTGTTTTATTTGTTGCATGTTTTTTATTTAGGTAGGCAAAAAAGGAAAATGTATTTTTTTTATTTTTTTTTTCAGTTTAAGTTGGATTAACGTAGCGCGGTAAAATTTATTGTATAACATTTTTATGCATTTTAATTTTGTTTGTGGGAATTTTCGCAGCAGTTAGAGCAGTGAAAGTGACGTTATGGTTTTTGTGCGAGAGTTTATTTAATTTGGTTTTTTATTGCAGTTATTTGTGTTGCAACAATGCAATATTGTTAAATTATCCGTAGCATTTAAAAGAGATAAGAATAATATGAGAGAAATATTAGTTTAGCTATTAATATATACATATATACATATGTGACATAAAAATGTGAGTATTATGAAAAATTGTAAATATCGATACAAAGTTAGGGGTATATTTGTAAGTATTCAAATACTTTTATTTTGAAGCTTATTTTATACAGGTTTTTTAATAATATTTATGGGCGAGAAAAATTTTTGGGATTAGTTAGGGGCTAGCTCAGAACCAGCTCGGAGAAAGTTCGGGTTCAGGCGAGAACTTTCTCGGGACCAGCGTGGGAGTATGTCGGGAAGAATCTAAAGACATACAAAATTTTTTCTTACTCATAATTATTATGAAAAGACTTCTAATATAAATTCCAAAATGAAATTCCTTAAAGACTTAAAAAATATATCCCACTGATAACACTGCACTCCGTATCTGTTTATGTATACCGGTTTTCTAGATCAAAATAATTTCCTTTTTTATGAAACGTAAAATTCAAATTTTAATATGAAATGAAATAAAAAAAACAACAGCTTTTAAGAAAATGTTTATATTTGTATTAAATCAGAAAGAAATCATGCTAAGAAAGATATAATAATGAAATATGAACGAAAGTATGCAATAATTTATTTTGATGAAGTATGGTCAAGAAGAAGACGGTGACCCTTCGTACCGATTTTGGCGGGACAGTACCGATTTTTAGAAACTTGTCCGGCGGAATATTTTTTAAAAGTCGGGACGTGCAAGTGTTCCGCTTTTTCATATTTGTACCGATTAGGTCCCGATTTTCAGTGTTTTATTTATTAATTTAACAAGAATCTTCCTGTACTCTGGCTCAAAAAAAAAAAAAATTTTTCGTACAAACGTGTTAGCACTTTCGTTATCACAAAGAACATAGAATATAGGGGAGCCACAAACATAGCCATCATCCTTATTTTCTATGGGCTTTTGGTTATGTTTTATTCTGTCAAACTGGTACCCTCGCTATATTGCTGTCACCATTCAGATCCACAATTTTTTTGAGGTTCTTATAAATTTTTGTTAAGTTTTTTTTTTAATGAAACGATTCTAATTGAATTTTGTGAAATTATAAAAAAATATAAGATGTTGATACAATGACGAAAATTGAAATGGCATTTCTTGGCAATTCCCCTTTTGATTATTTAATGTTTATTATTTTTTTATGAAAGTGTAGCTCGTTATATACCAAAAACCATTTAAATAAAAAAAAAAAAGTTTTATCAAAATTTGGAGCTTTTTAAATATATCTTTATAAACTTTCTGAGTACGCAGTTTTGTAGCCCATTCAATTCTAGTAAAACAAAGTGCAAATTTGGTAAATTTTTTTGTGGAAGGTGTTGGCCATTTGCACTATACAAAAAATTTTCGAACGTACTTTGAAGGGAAGGAAATGCGCGAACAAAAAATTGCCACAAATCAACGGTAACCCCAAGCTACTTCGAGGTTGCACTTTGTTAAACTAAAATTTGATTAAACATTTTAAAAATTTTGATCAACATTTGTCGAAATTCTTCGTATTTTTGTAAATGTTCTACAAAGTTTGAAATCTTCCTTTATAGGTTTTTCAGTTATTAGTAAGCTATATTTTCAAAATATTTTCAAAAAAAAAGTCATACACATTTTTAATATAGAAAATTAGCCAAAACTTGCTAAAATTGCTTTTCCCTATTTACATTCTCGCCACCGTATATATGTGTTGTGTGTATATATTTTTGAGATCGCTATTCAAATTTGTTTTCTTTGTTTTGCCTTAAATAAAACTGTATTACAAGATGTTATGTCTCTTTATTCTAAAAACAAAATTGTATGTTCGATGCTTTAGAAGTGTTTCGTCATATCGTACGTGGCCGTACTCGTACACACTCGGATATGGCATATGAGTATGTATGTTTCATGTCAAAGTATGCATTTTTTTCATTCGCAATGCAAGCTTAAATTGAAAATATTCTAGGAAAATGAGCTCATCCAGAAAAATTATGTACAGATCCGCAATATACGGACCAAGATTAAATCATGATATAATTAATAATCTGGGTCTCCTATAAAACCATACCGCAGTTTACGGTATTACATGCCCTCGGAAGCTCCTTTGATGAATAATACGCGTTAAAGAAAAACGTATGTGTCTTTAGCACACTTCTTTGTCGTAGTTTTCAATTATTTATTCAATTGAAATTGGTCTCACCGAACCAAATATGCCCTACAAATATGAATGACTTTTTTTTCCTTTATCTGAAAAAGCTCTTTTGTGAACCTACGATGCTGTATGCATAAATATTTCACGAAAATTATTTCAATATAAATATTGTTACAGGCGGATTCTGTGATTCTGTGCATATGCCACATTTTTATTATTTATCAAGAATTGGAATTCCAGCACAGAAATCAAAAGCTCTTTTCTTGATAAACTATCAATATTGAAAATGCTATTGACAAGCGTTTACAAATTAAAATTTCATATGAAACTTATAAATTTTGTATTTAAAAATTTATTTATTTTTTAATATTAAATACTGCATGTGCCGGCATTTGAACCTGCGATACACAGAATTTATAGCCGACATCTCTACCTACTCGGCTACGGAAGTCTAGAGCCTTTTTTCCTTTAAATTCATATTTTTCATATGCGACAATGGAAATCAGTTGCCCTCTTATGGACACAGAATGCTAAGGCAGCTTTTACTTGATACTTGGTACTTAGCAGAAAGCATACATAAGATTAATTTTGCATTAATTCAATTCAAGCGCCTCCTGGAAAGCTATTCACTCAAAATATTAAAATAGGAAAACGAACCAAATCGGTGCAGCCAATCTGAAGTGTTAATGTGACAAGGAGACTACTTTGTAAGTAGGTGTCATATTAAATACCCGGCCCACACTCTATTTCAAACACTTATTTATTTATTGTCCTACTCAAATATCGTTTTTACCTGCCTTGGCAACAAAAAAAACAAAGAAATATATTTGAAAGAAAAAATACACAAAAAATAATAACATTGCATTGATGAGCAGAATTTCGACGTAAAGAAAAATCAATTTTCGCAATTCAACAAATTTAGTGACGCTATGAGTACAAACATTAATATATGTACATAGTTTACAAGCATGTACATATATGTACATATGTAGGTACCTAACTATATACTATTCGAAATATGAATTTTATCTTTGCTTCCAAATATTATGAGCGCCAAAAGCAGCGCACAAATTTTTGGGTGTTTTTTCGTTTCCATCGCTACTCGCACTTAACCTTACGCCAGGGTCAGTAAACACTTTTTATATGAAAAAGCCATGAACTTTGCCATGGTTGCCGGCTAAGGAAATTGATTGTGAATGTCATTGCTGTGAGTATGTATGTATGCACATATATTTGTATGTATGTATTCACTTTAAGCTTAAGAGTGAAATAATATAAATAAGTAAAAAAAAGTGTTACCAAAAATTGTGAGCGCAGTGCTGTGCACATCCAACAGTAAATGCAAATGCAAATGTGGCAATGAATACTCTTTCTTCTTACCATACAAAGCCAGTTTATACACTCTTAGTGCAACTAGATTCACTGACTTACACTTACACCCCCAGATTTTCAATTTTTTTTTGTATGCTCTTCTCATTGTGCATCGCATATTTATTTACTTGCATGCGAGTATGTGAGTGAGTGTAAATCAACGACAAATAGTTTGTTTTTGTCAATGCTTATGCACTCAAAGTATACCTTGGTGCACTTAATGACTTTTCGTTCAACTCAAGTCAACACCATGCAACAACATCATGCAGTCTCAGTAATACGACTATGTCAAATGCCACATTCCGCATACCACATGCCACACGCCACCATTGCAAGTGTGCACATGTGTACATAAACGATCCCGAATGTGTATTTATTGCAGCCTGCAGCTAGTGTTATTGTCAGGACATCACACACACACACACACACACACATACACACACACACATACACACATGCGAAATATGAAAAGCATTTGCTGTCAACGCCTTTTCACTTGCTCGCATAAACACATACACCTAAACTTATACACATACATACATCTGTACATATGTGCGTATATATATGTACAGGTAAGTGCTACAGGGAAAACAAAACACAAAACCTTAAAGTTTATATGCAAATGACACTTTTGTATGCACCACGCTTTCACATACACACACACACCTACCTACACATCGCATGCTCGTAAATAACTGTGTAATTGAGTATTGGTCTGACGCTGAGCAAACTTTCGTTTTCATTTAGTTGATGGAAGCTTAACCTTGCTAACGACAAATTTGTAAGCATACATACATATGTACATTACACTGCATCACCAAAAACAGTTGCGATTTTTGCGCCGGGATTACATAATTTGTTATATTTGAGGACGTCCACCAAAATATTTCGGCAAAATATTAAGATTTACGTGAGCTGGACGGATTTGAAAATACCTCCAAAAATGAATAAAAATAGTTTCTTAAAGAACTTATAAAAAAATCCCCTAATATGTATGACAAAACGGATTCAAAGGAATCGTAGTAATGAGATTTTTGATGTTGTTTTTTAAACT